ACACACACACACACACACACACACATACCTTCTAACCAGTACAGGTACAGTCCTCTCCTGTTTTGTTTAGTTTTGGTTTTGTTTGGTGTGTTGCTTTTGTTGTTTCTTTTGCTTTACGTTTGAAGTAAACTCAGCGAAAACATTCAGGAAAGGTACTATGATTATGAAGATAGTGAACGCTTTCCACGATGTCAACCCTGGAATAGTATCTTCTATGGTTATGTTTCCAAGAATATAAACAAACCAACCACTCTGCGATTTCCTTTGAATAGAGGAAACCGTTCGATGCAATGGTTGTTCTCAAAACATATCTCCAAAAAAGATGCTATTTCTAGGATTTATTAAGAGCAAACAGATGTTTTGTGTACATTTTGTTGTTGATTATGATCATATTGTTGTTGTCATTATTGTTTATGAGCCTCAAAAGCGGACTAAAAAGTGATTTTACGTAAGCTGCTTTTTTACTTCGGAAGGCTTGTGTTTGCTTTGCTAACGTGTTTAGGTAAAAAACCTTTTACCCTCTATACTACAAGAAAAACCAAACACTTTCCTTTCAGAACATACTTCCTGCACTCAGTTCATTCTTTCTCCTCGTGTTTACCCATTTTATTGAAAGAATAAGCAACGCATTTATTTAGATACCAGTGTGTATTGTTTTCGGTTTCATTCACCCCTCGGAAACACCTCAACAGACAGAGAAACACACAATGTGTTTTCAAATGTTCAGTAATCGTAACTTTAAAAATGCATTATCCCTGTGTCCACCAAAACAGAAACCTCTGGACTAAAAGTTGTCCGTCTCTCGAGAAGTTGGAAGTTGAAGTAAAGCTCGGGGTTTTACAGTAGCAATTAATGTGAATACCTGTCGTGTGTGTTCACCAAAAGGAAACAACTCCCCCCCCACGAACACACGTCAAACCCACCCCCCCCCCCCCCCCCCAACCTCTTTTTTTTTCAAGCAAAAGACAAATGTCTGTTGAAATGCTGCGTGCTGTATTTTTATCGGAAATAGCCCAGTCAGAGCTTAAAAAATGTATTCTAATTTCAATTTCTTTTTTTTTTAAACAGAATGTCACATTTTTATCAGCGCCTTAGAATTAATTAGCAAAGTACACGTGTGAACCACTAGTTTAAATGCATAAAAACAATTTCTGTACTTTTTTCCTAATTGTTCATGTTCTGGGGGGTTTTCTGTTTACGTTCCTTAATTAGCCTTTTCCCGTTCATGCAAACAGGAAACAGGAGAACGAATTGCCTCCTCCAGACAAAAAAACAGTCCGTTTCTACTTTGGTGAACACTCGAACTTACATATTTTTTAATTCTTAAAACTGAATAGTTCATGCCGGTACTACTCTCAGAGTATGGCAAACCGCCAAAGAGCTTGGAAACAAAACATGTGCTCTGTTCAGATAGCCTACGCGTATTTAATAAAGTCATTGCCACTGTCACTAATCCCATAATCCATGAGGATCGTAGGGGTGCTATGTGACAGAGAGCCTCGCCAGGTGCCTCCACTCTTCACGGGTTCTTTCTTTTAAGTTTAAGAAAGTACACGTTCTGAATTGGTTTAATTTGTTTAATTTTTAAAAGTTTTTTATAATTTTAATTTTTATTTATTTTTTCTTAATCCTTGACATTTATGTTGCTTTTGTTGTTGCTGTTGCTGTTGTTGTTGTTGCTGTTGTTGTTGTTGCTGTTGTTGTTGTTGTTGTTTTGTTGTTATCAAGATTGAGTTATCAAATTATACTTTAATTAAACTCTCGCGTGTAAGACATTGTAAGCAACAAAGAGAGTTCCCATATCCTAAACATCAAATGTAAATTCATTTTGTACTTCAAATATAAAAATTATAGTCCCAGATTCTCTGGAAATGTCAAATTTAATGGTTAATAAAATGGATAACTGGGTCGTCACTTCAGTTGACAAGACATTTTACGAAGTTGCGAGAAACCAAAGGTTCGGACCTGCTTCTGATCCCGTGTTTGTTTGGGTTTTTTTCAAATCAAATTTTGAGACTAAGATGATAAGATTACATTCTCCAACAGTACTACAATAAGAATGGGGTCGCGGCGGGGAGGGACGTTTGGTTGAGTAGGATCAATTATA